TATAAGAAGCTGTAATGGGTCGTTAGTGGAATAGACGCAAAAATTTTAGTAGATTCAAAAAAGTTTCTTTTAAAGCGGTGAGTAGTGCTTATCAATTTTTGTTGTTTAAATTAATACGTATTATCGTAAGAATATTGTGCAGTTACGTGTATTTTTTTATCAGTTTTATGAACGTTTTATATGAGATTTAAAATTTTAAACGAATTTTTCCCACAACGCACGTTTTCAAAATCGGTGCCCTCTAGATTTGGAGAACTACTGTACTGACCCTTTTGAAATTTGAACACTATTTCATATTTACGAGAAAATCGGTTGTATAGAAGATGTATGTTATATTGATCCTATTTTCTGTATGTCATTGTTAAATATATATTAGAGGCGTCACCGACTAGCAGTCAACGCGATCGGTCACGCTTGTTAAACAGTCCATAAGTTGTTTTTCTCTACCATACTTCTATACATCTAGTGCTTTGTAAACACACGTGCTTGACTAAATTTTTGATGTGAGATGGCCCCGGGCCCCAATATCTCGGCGACAATAGATTTGCACTATTGTCACCAAGCCCTCGTGCAAAAAGAAAAAAACCAGCAAACGGTATTGAAGAATTCCCAGAATTGCCCGTAACAAAAAAAGATAGCCCCAAATTTCTTGTGATAAAATCTAAAGACGAAAATAAACTACTAAGTAGCTACTCCATTTTTGCGGTGCACAAATCCCTTCTGGCTTTAATCATAGAAATAAACAAAATTACTCCTCTACGTGATGGAGGCTTATTGCTGCTGGTGAAATATAAAGAAATAACAAAAAAGTTTATTAACACCCATTCTCTGCCGGACCTTTGCCAAGTTTCATGTGAACTCCACCACAATTTCAATTGTGTTAAAGGGACAGTATACGCGCCATTCCTAAATCAAGTTCCAGAGGGCGAGATTATTGAAGAACTCAAGCAATACAACGTCACTAACGTCCACAAATTCAGGCGCATAACTGAAGGAGTCGTAAAGCCAACTGGAGCAGTACTACTATCATTTTACACCTACTTTTTAACGGAAAAAATTGACATAGGCTGTCAAATATGCACTTTGTAGCCATATTTCCCAGACCCGATGCGATGCAAATCATGTCAGAAACTTGGGCATACAATGAAAATGTGCAAAAACGTACCCGCCTGCGTCTCTTGCAACCTACCTCCCCACCAACCAGAAAACTGCATCAGAACATCATGTGCAAATTGTTTTGGAGAGCATGCAGCCTCGGCCAACACATGCCCTAAATATCAGCAGGTCAAAGCTATTCTTAAAATAAAAACTGAGAAGAAACCGCCAACAACCGCCCAAACAACAAAAGTACAAGACAATTCTACAGCACAAGTAAATACACATAATCCGCCTGATTCCAACAACTCTACTTCAGAAGCTCCTAATATTACGCAAGAAACCGTCAAAGCAACTACTAGCAAAGACAGTACACACAATTTTTTAACAGAACTCAACGCTCAGCCAACAAATAAAACTAATCTGACAACAACATACAAATTCAACAAAAGATCATACTATTGTTACATTAAATCAACACAACAACTACGGTGGCGAGAAAACGTCGAAAACCGAACCTGAAAAAGATACAGATCACCGCATGGATACCGACACGTCTACGTCTACAACAAATTCCATGAATATGCGAAGCAGGGGGTCGCAATACTAATAAAACGGAATATTCCGCACAAATGTATAGCTATACATACAAATATCCTATCAATAGCTAAAGAACTGCATTTCCTTACACCCTTCTCAATAATAAATGCATACATCCCACCAAGTCAAACCTTTTCCGACAAAGACATAAGAGATCTACTCCATCAGACCCAGGCTCAAACGCTACTACTAGGTGATTTCAATGCGTGGAGTCCCCTTTGGGGTTCAGCCACTACCAACGCTAGAGGTACACAACTAGAAAATGTTATATTCGCGGAGAATCTGATTGTGCTAAACAACGGTTCACATCTGATTGTGCTAAACACAGAACGTTCACCCATGTCGATATCACTATGGTTTCATCTCAACTAAGTCCTAAATGTTCGTGGAAAATTCTTAACTTCCTTTATGGAAGCGACAATTACCTAATTCTGTCAGAATTACAAAATAATTTGAACGTACAGAACCCGAAGAGATCTCCAAAATTCTTGACAGACTTTGCAAAATGCAAAGACACACTGTCTAGAGGCAATACAAGAGTGGCACCCTGTAAACATTCACCAAGAAGCAGCCACAATTACCAAGATAGCAAGACCAAGATTAGCCGTTCCCACGACAGTCGGGTCTACGTAACCGGAACGGACCCGAATATTTATTCGGTCAAGTCTGTCAATTCGGCAGAACTCTGCCGCTACAACAACAGCAACAACAACCAAGATAATTAGAACAGCAGCCAACAAAACGATTCCTCAAAGCAACTCAAAGGGGCATAAATCACGCTCACCATGGTGGAATAACGAGCTTAGTCAATTACGTACAAATAAACAAAAACTTTGGCAGGTTTATAAAATCTTTTGTAACATTGTCAACCTTATCGCTTACAAAAAGGCAAACGCCCAGTTCAAAAAACGCATCAAAGAAGCAAAACGGAAATCTATATCTGAATTCACCGAAACTATTAATCCAAACTCTTCGCCACAAAAGATCTGGGCAAGAATCAAGACGCTCACTGGCATTCCAAGAGCTCCCATTAACGCGATAAGTCATAATAACGCCTTTCTTTCTTCCCCCACCGAAATTGCAAATGCCTTTGCTTATACCTGGTGTAATTACACCCAAGACACTAACTTTTCCGAAGAATATAATACGTTAAAGCAGACTATATTGGCCGAAGTATGTTACCCCAGCACAGTCACAGAAGGCGCTCTCTACCTAGAAACAGAATTCTCCCAAATGGAATTAGATGTCGCTCTGCAACACGCTAAAGGGAAGTCTCCAGGAAAAGACCTTATAACCTACGCTATGCTTCGCAATCTGCCACTTCCGGCAAAACGTATCCTTCTGTCATTGTACAACAACATCCTCAACGGGAGGCTTTATCCTCACACGTGGCTATCGGATACCATACTACCAATCCCTAAGCCAAATAAACCCCACGACAGTACAAGTGGGTATTGCCCAATTTCACTAACCTCCTGTCTCAGCAAAATATTTGAAAAAATGCTCACGAAAAGGTGAATGTGGTTTTTCTTGAAAAATAATTTAATAAGTCACAACCAGTCAGCATATAAAAAGAAACATGGAACCATCGACACACTCCTCCACCTACAACACTTTATCGCCGATGCGCTCTCAACCAAAAATCGCATCACAGTGTTAGCCACTGACTTCGAAAAAGCATATGATCGCATTGGCATTCAGGTCATTTTAAATCAACTCAAAGAGTGGAAAATTAGGAAAAAGATATTTGAAGTCATAAAATCGTTTATGACTGGACGGGCATTCCAAGTTAATATCAACGGACAGCTTTCATAACCTTTGCCACTCAATAAGGGCATACCCCAAGGTTTCCCTTTAGCGGTTGTCCTATTTATGATAGCCTTTGAGCAAATAAATAGAATAACAATAAACTACAAAAATATCAATTTAAATATTTATGCAGACGACGCTTTTTTTATACAAAAAATAAGGACTTACTAAGCACTAAAAATACATTTTAAAGCTACTACTCGAACTCAAACAATGGGGATTAAGATCTGGAGTCACCCTTGCTTATGAAAAGTGCAAAATTTTGCACATCTGTCGAAAACAAGGTTGCCCCGCAATTGATATCAATGTTGAGCTCACTAACATTCAAAATGTAAAAAACTCAAAAATATTAGGCATTGTATTTGATTCTAAATATTCTTTCAAAGAGCACTGTCAGCAGTTAAGAAAAAATCTAACTACCAGGCTTAGTATTATTAAATACTTATCATCAAAAAACCTTTGTATACATACTAACACTTTAATTAATATAACAAGATCAATAATGCTATCAAAAATAGATTATGGACTCCCTATTTACGGGTGGTGCGCTAACACACATATAAAACTTTTGCAAGCGCCATACCATACAGCGGCTCGACGTAGTTTGAACGCTTTCCCCATTTCAACAGTTAAATGTATGTTAGCAGAAGCAGGTCTCCCCTCCATTGTTGAAAGGCGCGACCTCGCTATGTGGAGACTGATCCCAAAGTTTATTAATACCACAAGTAAAACGCTATTCAACATATTCCGTCTCGCTGCATCCCACAAACGCAACTACTCCATCGAATCTACTATTCGTCGGTGCATATCCCATTGCAAAGAATTAGAGATTCAAATACCCCCAATGGGCAATCAAATTTGTAAGCAAGCGCCTTGGTCGCTAACACAATCTTCTGTATCCGACCTTTTATACACCTACCCTAAAGCACACACCAGTAACAAATGCTTTAAACAACTATTCATTGAGCACTTTAACAGTAGGCAGATGATCAAGTGGATCCCCATATTTACAGATGGATCAAAACCTGACCACAGTACAACGTTCGGTGTAGTGCACCAAAATGAAACACTCATAACAGCCGGTTGGCTCCCATTGCACTGTTTTATTTATACAGCAGAAGCAGTCGCGTTGCTACAAGCCACAGAATTTGCAACTAAAAACAAAGGGCAATTAAAAATATTTACCACGATAACTATTATTAACCGAATTAGGGACAGATTTATAAAATATAAAAAGAAACTCCAAATCTTTTGATTTCCTGGGCATAAGGGCATCCCAGGCAACGAGTTTGCTGACGAAGCGGCCAAAAACGCAGTCTCAACACCATGTCTAACTTTTAATGCATCACCGAACAAGGATTTACAGAAGATGATAAATAGACACCTCCGTAAAAAACAAATTTCAGACTGTCCCATTATCAGCATCTTTACTCCACCATTAATCGTGAATGTGCTAAAGCGCTTTACCCAGCGGATTTGTCAAGGAAAGAAATAACCTATTTCACTCGACTGAGGCTCGGCCACACAGTGATCACGCATAGCCACATTCTTCAAGATGACCACCTGTACGCCCGGACTGGCCAAACCGCCTAACTGTCCAACACATCCTCGACTATTGCCCAAACCTATCGGCACTTCTAGCAAAGAATTTTGGTACCACTGTACCGTCAACTCTACTAAATAAAATTAACATCGGAAACGTTAAAAAAGTAATAAAATATATCAACGATATTAATCTGAGCAGCAAAATTTAAACCAATTTTTACCAAATAAAATATATTACAATATCAATATGTTATATTCGGAATATAAGAACAGCATTCG